CCTTTTTGACACTAAGAATGAGACACACTTTGTATTTTAATTTTAATTCTAGTATTTTAAAACAAAAACCAAATATCCACTCTCTTGTTTTTTAATACCCGTTTCGAAAATGAAAATCCAATGTCCAAAAGATACACTGACCTAGCTCGCAGGCATTGACCCTCAGAGTTCCATATGGTCATTTTTGACTCATTTTGATTTTACCCCCAAAAATAACATTATTACAATCATTTTCTTTTTCCAGCACATGAACTGTGTGAATTTAAACTATTTTTTTCATTTGAATATACTGTTATTGTACAGTATATTAGACATTAAATTCAATAAATAAATAAAATAAAAATCCAAGTGGGCAAAGTTATTTGTGAAACCCGCAAACATTAATGATTTTTAGCTTTTAGAATGCCATTGTATGATGTAAATTTCTAAAACTGATGTTAAAACATTTTAAGCAACAGTTTTATAAAAACCATCAGCTACTGAGCACAGTTTGGACCTAGTCCACACATGATAATGGCTTTATTTATTTAACAGCTAAATGCATGGTTTTAAAAGTTAGCAAACTAGAAACAAATACAGCCACATACTACCATCCTCCTCCCGGTCACGTTGTTCTCTAGATGTAGGTTCCAGTGAAGATGAAGATGATGCACCAGCAGAAAATAAATGTCAGTTTCTGACACTTGGCTGATATTGCTTGTAGATGTTTTTCTCAATTTTTGTTCTCCTCTCGTCCGGTTCTTCTCTTTATTCTTCCTCTTCCACTGAAATATTACATCAAATTATTTGTGACAGAATTGCAAAATAATGTATGGACTTACCAAATAATTTTGGTGGTCTTCATTCTCCTTTGGGTCAGACTCTGGCTCCAACATGTAAGGCTGGATGGACAAGTCTTCTCTTGTTCACATCTTTTAATTCATCAGTATATAAAACGTTTCTGCACCGCTAGATAGTTGTAAACCCCTCTATCAAACGAGAATGAACCAGTTTGGAAGCTGGAGGGTGGCGGGGTGTGAAGCAGCTCATCTGCATCCAAAGAGACAGTCTCAAAATGAGTTATTATAATTTTAGCTTTCGTGTCAAAAGGTTTGGACCCCATTAATGGAGAATAATACATTAAAGTTCTGCTGAGTTTATTAAAATCTATACATTTGTCAGAAAAACAGTCACCTCATTACAATCTGTACGTAGTTAAATCTTGTGGCTGCAGGCCTGTCTCTGTGAAATACATCAAAACAGTAAAACTTGTTAAAGTGTAAGTTACCCCAAAATCAACTTTTTTTTAACAAATAAACTGCCCAAATTGTGTCTTAAGGGTAATACCTTGCTATTTTTGACCTAAATTTAACATTTTCGTCTAAAATAGTTTAAATCGTCAATATTTGGTCAAAAACGGCTTGGTGCTGCCATCTAGGGGTTTAAAAAATACTACCACGTTTGAAGTACTTTGTGACGTGCTGTACAGCGTGACGTGTCACAGTACTGTGCTCATATAAAAGCCTCTCTGTAGAGACACGCCCTGCAGAGATTCAGGAGTTAGCCATAGCATTGCTGATCGTATCTGTGGTAGAAGCTGCCTTCTCCTCAGCCACAGTGAAAACATGGAGTCTATCWGTCATAAAACAAACTGAATTAACKTACACTTCCTCTTTGTGCTTCAAGAGTTCTTAAACTGTGGTTGTTGTGTCACGTAGTTTAGATCGGGCCAAAATTACACACACCCTCGCACACACATATTGTCCCCACATGTGCAATAAAACATGTCCTCACACACACACACACAC